ATCACGATTATTTGAAAAATCAGCAACCCGAATAACAAAAGGAAAAGATGGTACAGGGCAGCTAAACGAAAGTTGGACTAATTCACTTTGTAGGAACAAATTTTGAACCTTTCTGTTCATGGTTGGTCGTCGTACTGAACATTAAAGGTGATTATGGGAAGGAGAGGAAAGATAAGCCCGAAAGCGTAGAAACGTTTATTCATCCTTGTAAAGTTGATTTTAGAATAAGATAAACTTTTCTGGAAAGTAAGAGTCAAACAAACAGACCCAGGATAAAAAAAACATTCTTGAAGTTTTAAACTTTGGGGCAATTCGTTTGCTTAATATAATTACCTGTGAGATAAACGTAGACCTTAGCGTGTTTGTACTCAGATTTGCTTATGGCTTTTAAACCAGACATTAACTTGTTTCATTTTAATGGATTCTTTCTTTGACCATGGGGATATATATCTTTTCTGTCAATAGGTAAACTTTACTTCGGATAACCGGCTTATAAACAGGAAGGTCTTTCAGTGCAAAAGAATCAGCTCACGAATGTTATAAAAATTGTCCATATTCATTGTCCATGTCTTGCAAAGGAACACTCAACCCTGTAAAAGACTGTTGGTGGATGGTATAATCCGCAACTGAACTTTGTGTCATTACAAGGATTTGAGAACAGTTGGTCGACTCATGTGCGTCTTTTGATTTTCTGTTTCCTCTAAAATATGTTTTTGCCGATGATTAAGATTTTAGATGTTTATTCAGCAGATTTTAGATATTGAGGTAGCAGAATCTAATTTCGAAGCAACGAAAAAGCAAAATGAAACAACAGCTTTGAAGTTGATTCTGTACATTTATCCAGTAGCCCAAGATGCCAGAAACGTATAAAAAGACTTATATACGAGAAATTATATATTTCTCAAACATAATTTGATTGAAAGTAATCAAAATATGATCATCATCAGCTTTTTTCAATCTGCTCTTTGACAGAGGTCGCTCCAAAACTTTGCTCTAAGCTGCTTTTTCTTGCGATTGTTAATCATCTGGACCCGGTGAACTTCTTCAGCTCATGCTGTCATCAGTTTGGAGGTCTTCTTACTTGTCGTTATGTCTCTCTTAAAGCAGGTCTAATCTCTGATCCAGTGTTGGCCGGTTCGTCTTGCAACGTGTCCCTGCAATTGCTACTCTGTCAATGACGTCACCGACCAT